GACCTATGCTATTATCAGTTTAATTCTTCTGCTAGCAGACGAAAACCGAACATGTTAACTACTTGCGTGAGCTGCCAAAAGTACAGGTAGGTACTTACAACTAATTGAAATCAATTTATACTTTACCTGGAATACCCCATTTCCTTGACATACTTGTACATGCTGCTTCCTCGGGTATCCTATCAAAGTCTTCCAAAGAGTAACGAGCGAGTTCAAGTAGAAGACTCATCACATGATTACAGTATCCACTTTTGCCAGCTCTGCAAGTACAGTGTGCTTCCCGTACATTCCCAGATGTTACATCGTGTGAAACTTCTAGTTCGTGAATTTCTCGAGTACTCATGCTGGCACGACACTTTGCTTTTACCATAAACGAGTTACCAAATACCTTCGTATACACTGTGTCTGATGAAAGATACCGTTCTTCTTGAAATTTTAAGCCACGCTTCAGGTTTTTTTTAATAGGCTTCGAAACGTCGTCAGCCTTTCGTTTGCCACTATTGTTCCGGTGTTCATCTATCTCTTTCCTTGTAAACACTGGCAAGCTTTTAAGAGACTTACACCACGGGATATCTTTCGCAGTTTGCGCCTTAGGCTTCTCGGTGTTGTCCGCCATGTTTGATGTTTGTCCACCCGAGCCTCACTTTCATGTTTTCGCGCGCGTGCTTGTGACAACCACAACCAGTACCACAATCAGTACCACAACCGTCTTATGCTGAAATGGCGAGGATGCCCCCTCCAGAACCAACCACCCAAGCTGGAATGAAACCACAATCAATAAACATTAACACTGTTATGGAACTCTTGAGACTTTATGAATCTACACGTCATCAATGATACCCTATATCCTTTTCCTACTTTGATTTTCATCCATTACTCTATCTTACTTCATTTGAGTTGTTTTTCACTGCTATTCCTTAGTTAAGTGGTAGTTATAGAATATGTCCTCTCTTAGATCTAGCGTTTTATCTATAACTAGTTGGAATGTAAATGGTTTATCCGAAAATTTCTTTATGGGTAACAAATTATCAAACAGTGATTTTTTACGTTTTTTCAATCATTGTGATATAATTGTATTGACTGAAACTTGGAGGTCAGATGAAATTTCTTTGTCGGGTTATGAATTTTTCACAAACCCCAGTCAAAAACATCATCGAAAGAAAAATGGCAGATCTTCAGGTGGAATTGCTCTTGGTTTTAGAACTACCTTCAAGAAAGGCATCCAATTAATCTCATATCATACTAATTTTTTGTGGTGCAAAATTGATAAAAACTTTTTTGCTATAGATCAGGATATATTTTTATGTGCCATTTACGTGCTCCCTCGGGACTCGCCCTATTTTAACCCTAACATTTTTGATGATCTCGAAAACGACATTGCTTATTATAGTGCAGAAGGCTTTATTATGTTGACAGGCGATTTCAATGCTAGAACAGGCTCTGCTCTAGATTTCGTTGACCTTGATCAAAATATTCATATACCCGGCGATGATCTCTTTCCTAAGCGCAACCTAAGAAAAAGGAGAAATTACGACACCCATATAAATGAGCACGGTCAGTCATTACTAGACATTTGCAAGTCACGTGACTTACGAATCGTAAATGGGAGGACGACAGGAGACTCCTTTGGTAACATTACTTATCATTCTCCAAAAGGAATCAGCACCGTAGACTACTTCGTTGTTAGTCATGAAATATTAAGCTTGACGGAAAATTTTATTGTCAAAGAAACAACAATTTTCTCGGATCACTCTCAACTTATCTGTTGGCTGAATATTTCCCCATCAATCTCCCCTCAAACAAATACTCCTCCGCAAGCAAAAGCATTTGATCTTCCTAAACAATTCGTCTGGAATGAAACTTCTAGAGAACATTTTCTTAATATCTTAAAACAAGATAAATTCCTCTCACGATTAAATCTATTTGAAAATACTAATTTTGCCATGGACAGTGAAGGCATTGATTCTGCTACGGAACATTTTACAAACATTTTAAAGGATATATGCGCCTGTTCTCTCAGATTAGCTTGTACACAAAAGAAACCAAAAAAGCATAAATTATGGTTTGATAAGGACTGTGCCCTTCTAAGGAAAAATTTAAGGGGACTCTCTAACAAGAAACATAAAAAACCTTGTGATGAAAGTCTCAGACACGATTATCACAGCGTGCGTAAAAACTTTAAGAAATTGGTTAAACAAAAAAGCAAAATTACTAGATTCTCAAGTTGAGGACCTCATACAAAACAAAGACAGTCAGAAATTCTGGACTTACCTCAAATCTTTAAAAGAAAAACAACGCTCCCCCTCTAGCAAAAACGATATTCCAGCTGACAGTCTATTTAGCCATTTTAAACGCTTACATTTGGTTTCAGACCCCCCTTCTTTTTATTCAGATCCTGTTTCCTTAAAGGAAGACATTTCCAGTTTAGAAGAAACGAAAAACATTCACGACTACTTAGATAGCCCTATTTCAATTAATGAAATAGAAACTACGATGAAATCACTTAAGTCAAGGAAAGCTCCGGGACCTGACAAAATTAAGAATGAAATGTTGAAAGTCATACAATTCTTGAAAACCGCACTCCAAAAATTATTTAACCTTATACTCCAAAGTGGTTTTTACCCTAGCTCTTGGTGCGAAGGAATAATAACCCCTATTTATAAATCTGGAAACAAGCAAGACCCGGAAATTATAGAGGTATATGTATAAATAGTTGTCTCGAAAGCTTTTCACTTCAGTACTTAATACCAGACTGAAAAATTTTGTAATCGATCAAGACATATTGCATGAAGCTCAAATAGGTTTTTACCGAATCATCGTACAACTGATCACATATTTACCTTAAGAACACTAATCGATAAATACGTCAATCAAACTACAAAAGGAAAATTATATACCTGCTTTATTGACTTCAAAAAGGCTTTTGATTCGGTTTGGCATGATGGCTTATTCTATAAACTCCTTCGGTACAAAATTGGGGGAAAATTTTATGATTTAATAAAGCACCTTTATTCAAAAACTAAATGCTCCATAAAGTTTTCCGATTGTCAACGAACGGAATTCTTTAACTATTGCAAAGGGGTTAGACAAGATTGTATCCTTTCTCCTATGCTTTTCAACCTATATCTAAATGAAATCTCTTTTTTACTTGACCGACAAGACACAGACCCTATTATTTTACCAAATGGAACTCATCTGAACTGTTTATTTTATGCAGATGATCTTGTTCTAATTTCCCATTCAGCCGAAGGACTTCAAAAAGCGCTTTCTGTGCTCGCTGAATATTGTAACAAATGGTTGCTATCTGTTAATTCAAAGAAAACTAAAGTTCTGATTTTTCAAAAGAAATGTAGAAAATCAATCCTTAACAAATATTGTTTTCAGATAAACAATGACAAAATAGAAATTGTTAACAATTATACCTACCTCGGAATCAATTTAGCTACAAATGGGAACTTCAATGTATGTAAAATAAACTTAAAAGAAAAAACACGACGATCGTTCTTTGCGATACAACGCTACCTTGCTTTCTTGAAACTACCAATTGACATAACCAATGAACTCATTAATTCGCTTTTCCTCCCCATTCTTTTATATGGATCTGAAATCTGGGGCATATATACTAAAGATGAGTTTAACGCCTGGGAAAAAGACATAATTGAAAAAACGCATATATATTTTTGCAAACAGTCCTTAGGAGTAAATAAACAATGTCCAAACGTCGCTGCTAGAAATGAACTCGGTAGATTACCGCTGAAATTAACTATAGATACCTCAATTATTAAATTTTGGATTCATTTACAAAATATGCCAGATAAAAACATAGCAAAACAATGTCTACAACTCTCCCAGGAAATGGCCGATAACAACCAGCCAGGTTTGATGCAGAAAACAACAACTATATGTAGCAAGTACAACGCAACCGCCATAACATTAAATGAAAACAACAAAAAAGTCTTCACCTCTTATATCAAGCAAAACATCAATAATGCTCTAACTGAGCATCAACTTACCCTCCTTAAAACAAATAGAAAATTGAATTTCTATACTACCTTTAAGAACGATAATAAAAAAGCAGAATTCTTAAATATGATTAAAAAACCCACTTCACAAAACAGCACTCTAAATTTCGACTAGGAAATCATCGATTACATATTGAAACAGGCAGACACACAGTACCTAAAACTCCCGAAAATTTAAGAATATGTTATCTATGTCAGACAAATGAAGTTGAAAATGAACGTCATTTTCTATTCTTCTGCAAACTTTATGACAATTTACGTTTAAAATTCTTCAGTGAAATATCTAATAGATATACACTTTACAAGGACTTAGATGTGACTTCAAAACTTTTATTTCTCTTTAATAGTATAGATCTCTCTGTTTGTAGATCAATTGCTGCTTTTGTTTTTGAATGTATGCGTCACAGACATGATATGTTATTTCAGAAAAGAATATAATCTTTTATTTTGCTATATATTTATAAATGATATATTTGTATTTTATTCATAAATATTAAATAGGTAATGCCATGTATAGATATGGAAATACCTTAATAAATTGTTGTTGTTGTTGTGACGAATGCGGGAATGGTCTATAGTAAGTGACTAGTGTTATTATAAAGAATTTTTTCATTCTGCTGGTTATTCCACCTAAAAGATTTCAGCAGACTTTTCCAATTTCCTTTGGTATTCTTTGGTGAGCAAGGTGGAGAATCAATTCACCACGACTTCGAACTGTTTGAGAAAACCACCATTTACACATTTGTTCAGTAGCAACAATGGCATCAATTCAGTTCCTTTGAAATGTACTTGGTCAAAGGAGAAGGGTAATTGAAAGTTTGTGTTATGCCCATCCTGACCGAAGAAGAAGGGTAAAGCCACATAGCTGACCCATTACGACTGTAGTGTCTGGTACCATGTGGAAGAAATTTGAAAAAAGAGGAAGGCCAACAAAAGCAAAAAGGAGAAGAAAGGCCGATCCAAACACTTACTTGAAGTATGCAGGAGGCAGAGAACACAAGCAAAACTTACAGTCAAGACCAAGAGAAGCTAAAAGAAATACCTTCTCTTCCCTTAAAGAGTTTTCTGAACAATTTTTTTTTCCGGAATATATGAAATACAATTACGTTTATCCACACTGCCTTCAAGCCTTTGGCTGGGTCCTAAACAGTCCCCTCAGAAGAGACACACCCAAATCACTAACAGTTAATTTCAGTGTCCAAGGCAGCAAGACATAAGAAGAGCAGTTTCAGGATTTCTACAACCAAGAATTTAATAACTCTAACCTCAGTTCGAAACCATCTATGTCGCCGAACAACCAAAGAGCATTGGACATAATGAAAGAAACAGTTCAGCTTAAGAACAGCGACTTTGAAATTGCTGTGCCATGGAAAATGTACCCTCCAAATCTAGAAAGTAACTGATCAGTGGCCGATCACTGACTAAGTCCTTTAAAGAAACTACTTCAAAGAGAAAGACTGGCTCACGGAAGAAAGATTACACCAGAAAAGTTAACTGCCAGGACAGGACCACTAGGCACTCACTAAAGTGGTTTTCGACTTTCAACTGCTCTGCAAGGCACCTCACTGAACGACCAGCTGTTACAGGGGCCAGTCCTGACTAACACTTTTGTCGGTGTTCTCTCTAGATTCAGGGAAAAGCAGATTGTGCTGATGGCTGACGTAGAAGCAATGTGTCATCAGGTATGCATTTAACCAAGTGACTGTGATGCACTTCGGTTTCTATGGTGGCTAGACGGCAACATTGACAACGAGCCACAGGAGTACTAGATGAGATTTTATCTATTTGGAGGCACGTTCTGTCCAAGTTGCGCAAACTTCACTCTTAAAGAAAAAACAGTACAAGACAACAAGACTGAGCCGATCAGTTCTGATGAACTGGCCATGAAACTTTCAAGTCAACTGTGTGACTTTCTTGCTCCAGGACGATTTAAGCTTACACAGTGGTTCTCCAATTCCCACAAGGTATCGAGTCTCTACCAGGTTCAGAAAGAGCTGTACAAGCTGATCTTTTGAAAGAGCCCTTGGTGTTCAATAGAACATATCATCCGATCTGTTTGGATTTAGAATTGTCATTAAGGACAGACCAGCAACAAGAAGAGGGATTCTATCTATTGTCAGCTCAGTTTATGACCCCCTTGGATGTCACGCCCTTTAAACTCATCACCAAACTGAGACTTATGCTGCAAGAAATAATACTGAGATGACATTATTCTTTAAGACTTCCTGCATTGCTTGCAGGTCTGGTTGCCAGAGCTTTTAAACCAGTTACCATCGACTGCTGCTTCAAACCACCCATCTTCAGAACTTACTACAACTCAGCTTTATCACTCAGCCCTCGACCTTAGCAATGGTCCACCAGCCCACGACTAGTAAAAAACAGGATTGGGCTAGTAAAATTTCAGAAATAGCCAAAAATCACCTTAATAACGATGAAAAGGTGATACCACCGAGTCAACCCAATCATGATAAGCTGTTTAAAGTTCAACCTTTCCTCGACGCTGTCATTAAAGCCTTCCACAAAGAATATTGCCCAACTCAGAATCTTTCCATTGATGAAGCAATGGTTGCCTTCAAAGGACAGCTTAAGCTTAACATGAAGCAGTACGTTCCCTTAGAGATGATAATAAGATGCATTAAAGCCAATGACACAAGCTTATCACAAGAAATTGTATAAAGAGAAGTCAGGTTTTAAGCGGTTTTTACTTAGCATATTGGAATATTGCTTTAAAATGGTAAGCCCTTACTTTATTTTAACGAGGGCGTACGAGTGTTATTACTTCTTGTCCAAATTCACTGATGTAACCAAAAAGAATAGGTCAGGCAGTTTTTATCTGAATTGTTGGAGGTTCCTAATTCAAAGCCCTGCTCAGTGAAAACCCTTCAAAGCTTCCTAAAACACCAGCAAACCCCAGCAGCCAATTGCATTGAATTCTCATGTATGAGGGGAAAGTGCGTTAACAACTGTCATCACCTCCTTTTTACCAAAAGCATTAATGTAATAGCAATAACACCAGACTGTAACAAGTCCTTTTCAGTTGCTGGAGTTGCCTTATGTCTCATCTTAGTGTGAGATTAAATATGATGTGTCAATCGCATTTCAAAAGTGTTTGAGTCATTTGCCTTTAGAACTTCACCACTTGATCCTTGCAGTATTTCATGACTCTGTCCAAGGCTGTTTCAGAGGCGCGAGAGTGGAAATTTAGTTCACACATGTCAACCCACAGACAACCTACATGCAAAAAGTATATGTGCCTAGCTTGTAGAAATTAATATTTTATGAGCTGTTACTATTTTCGGCTTCCATGATCAATGTTTGAGCTGGAAAGGTCAAATGGAGAGGAAGAGATATGAAGCGGCGGCTTGCAACCACCCTGTTTTCAGGCGAAGTGATTTGTGGCGTCGTCCAGGTCTTGTTAAATAAAGATACGTTTTTTGAGTGTTTTCGAATTTTTCCTGCAATAAAGATACGTCTCTAGTTTTAGCTCTATCTTTTGATGTTCATTTCTATGCTATGGCATTTTAATCTGAATTGATTTGACCGGTGTTATCACCGATCGCACTTCCCCATCTAAAAAGTCAAGATGGCGTTTATTTACCCACTGCTTCGTAATATTTTCCCCAGAACAGTGTGAATCCCACTTCAAAATATAAATCTGTCTGCACCAAAGTAAATTATAGAAACGTACACGAAATTATAACACTGTTGTAAAGCAGTAGCGCCCCTTCGATCGAATGAAATTCTCACCGAGTGTATCAGTTGATTCCTCCCTTCCCGATAAGTGTACGTCATCTGCTGCAGGAAATTGCGAAACCACACATGGTCGTATCTTTCAGTCAGCTATTTCGATCACGATCATGTGTGTAAAAAGATTTCTTGACCCTTTTATCATTTGCCCATAATTGATCTTGTTTTTGTGTTTTTACCAGTCACTGGCTTATATATCACAATCATTGAGTGATAGTATTTTCTCCCCCTGTACGTGATGCCCTTCATTTCGAATGAATTTTCCTGAATGAAACTTAAAACGCCCTGTAAATAAATAAAGTGATGTTCAAAACATACCTTTTGTCAATTTCATTCACTGTATCGATAGATATGTTTTAGAATTTGAGTAAATTCAGTTCACTTAAGTTCAATCAAATGGCAAACTTTGGTCTTTCTGAACATCAACGAATATTGGAGAAGCTTTGCCGAATTTGTGGGGAGCGGTTGAAGAAGGCCAAAGATAAGTACGAGAACAGTTTTCTTTGTGCAGACAAGAGAGAGATTATTTTCACAGCCTTTGGTGTAAAGATTAGAGGAGAGGACCTTAACAAATGCCCTCCTAAATTCTGCCATAAGTGCTACGAGCTTGCTTCAAGAGGAGGCACACGTTTTGCAATAAATGCTTGGCCTCCACATAAGCAATCTGGCAATTGTGTTATATGCAGTTCCTATAAGGACCACCAAAAGCCTGGAAGGAAAAGAAAACCCAAACCTGGAGTGAACCCTAAACATGACCCTGGATCAAAGGAACAGATTGAAATGGTTGAAGGAATGTCCGGCACATTAAGCTTTCAACCAGACCCGAACATGCTTTCTTTCTCTTAGGAGGTAAAAAATCTGAAAAGCTATCGTGGGAAGAACCCTTTTACCCAGAACGGTTTGTTGAGAACATTAAGCATGAGTACATGTATCCAATATGCAAAGAAGTCCTTGACCAACCCGTCCAAACAAAGTGCCAAACCCCCCATATATTTGTGTCAGCTGCCTTTCATTTGCCTTTGAGACATGTGGATCCCTCTGCCCAGTTTGCAGAACTGCAATTGAAAATCCTCAGGAGTTCATTGAACCAGCTCCTTTTGTTCTATGAACTATACTATCAGAACTAGATTTTCAATGCCCTACATGCACACACACTATAAAACTACACCAGCTGCCACAGCATCAAGAAAGTTGCATACCAAACCCTGTGACAACACCCATACAAAATGAAAACCCAGTGCAAGGGGCAGTTTCAGTTACATCACCACCTCCTTCCCCAGTGACAGTTTCAACTGTTTATTAATTATCACAAATTTTACAGAAAGCAATATCCACTGCCCGCAGTTAGCAGGTTAGCTAGTCGAGGCGAGCAGTGGTTACACATATGTAATACATATACAGATAGATCACAAGAAAGACTAGAGAAAAAGAGTAGTTAAATAAATAAACAAATAAATAAAAATAATTCAATTTAATCAAGTTTACAATTATGGACATTGCAAATATAAGAAGCCGAGTTTTCAGGAAATTTTTGTTATTAAGTCGGGTAAATCAGTATAATCATTTTCATCATTTTGGACATTTGACGCATTTCACACGGTAAACTATTCCAGATTTTTACACCATATCTTGAAAAAGACTTCGTTTGTTTATCTAACCTTGAGTGTTTAACATAATAGTCACCTCTTGAAGATGATCTTGTATTGTATGAATGAATATTAGATTGGGAAGCAAATAAGTTAGATATGTTAGTAGGTGTTAAGCTGTTAGATATATCATGCATTAGAATAGCAACGGATTTAAAGTACAGTAAATCTAAGGGAAGAAAGCTAGAGGAGACAAAATAAGGTACTGCATGAGAATTGTAGTCACCAAAGAACATAAGGCGGAGGGCGCGTTTTTGAAGAATAAGAATTTTGTTTTTGTAAGTTTTAGCAGCTTGGCCCCAAGCGACTATGCCATACAATAAGTAGGGCTGAATAAGAGATATGTATATGTGGTGTAAGGTATTCAGGGGTACAAAGTGTCTAAGGCTGGCAATGATGTCAATTATAAACCCTTAAAATTTCTGCATTAACTGTAGATTCAAGCGATTTGAGATTTTTGTCAGCATATAACAAATTAGTATCATCAGCAAATAAGTAGAACTTCAATTTATCAGAGCTGTTAGACAGGGTTCGCACGCGCCTTGAAAGTCCTTGAAAGTCCTTGAATCTCAAAATAAAAATTCAAGGCCTTGAAAGTCCTTGAAAATTGTAGTCAGTGCTGGAAAGTCCTTGAAATTTGTAGCTAATTTAATCCAACTTAGATTCTAGAGTGCCTTATTTGAAAATATATGCCACTGGCACAAACGCAGCAACACATAATAGTAAGATACAAATAAAAAACGATCGTAACGCCACTCCGCACGTCGATCAATCGCCCATATCCATTTGTCCTGTTCTTGGTTCTACTAATCACTCTGATTGGTTGAAGGTCTCGAATGTCAAGGGCCAATCAAATGTTTTGTACTATTCCCTCTTTCTTAGAAAAGCCATGTGCTTTGAGTGCTTTCCGGAGCCTTGTCTGGGTTAGTGTTGATTGTTTGCGTTTTGTTTCACGAGTGAGAGATTTAAAACAATGGGCAAGTGTGTTTTCAGCAACTTGTGGCTTCAGAAATCACTGTATAAAGATTGGCTACGAGAAGTCAAGGGTGACAAGCACAAGGCACGATGCATCGTGTGTATGAAGGATGTTGACATTTCGAGCATGGGAGAGTCAGCGCTCACAAGTCACTTGAAAGGAAAAAAACATCAAACACTGACATCCCGGAAAAGGTCATAAGCAAGCGTTCCAGATTTTTTGGGGGTTTCTTCTCAACAACCAGCAACTACAAGTGACGATGCCAAAGAAGTTTCAAAATCCACTTCGTCTGAAAGTGGCGAACACAACACGCTCAACCCCACAAAGTCTAGTACTGCGAGTTCATCTGGTTCATCGGTGATGGAAAGAATTGTCACTCGTGATGAGACGTTGAAAGCAGAAATTTTGTGGGCATTGAAGGTGATAATGTCTCATTACTCCTATAAATCATGCGAAGGTACGAGCAAATTGTTTCAGCGATGTTTCCTGACAGTCGGATCGCGAGTCAGTTTACATGCGGAGAAAAGAAATGTGCATACTTGATCTGTTTTGGGCTCGCTCCACACTTCAAACAACTTTTGAAGGACGTTGTGAAAAAGAAGAAGCTTATGTACTTATGTTTGACGAGAGCCTGAATAGCGTGTGCCAGTCAAAGCAAATGGATATTCACATTCGCTTCATGGAATCATGACAAACACGGTTGAAAGTCGCTATTATACCTCAGTGTTTATGGGGCATGGAACAGCAGAGGACATGCTTTCTCATTTTCGTTCAGGCATAGAAGGAATTCCTCTCAAAAAGTTTATCAGGTAGGATGCAACTCTCGTTATGTTTGGGTAATTTATATAAACATAACAAACGAAAGATAAACATGGTCATCTCTTCGCTGATGACATTACCTCCTAGGTTTCCTAATTATAAATACATGTACTGTTACTAGTGTGGTGCAAATCGCCGTTACGTACGGAAAACAAATGTTTTGTGTAATGCCAAAAAGCGATAAAATTGTATTAAATAGAAATGAAACACCTTACTTAGTTTTCTGCCCTTTAAGGTCTAAATAATGAACACTCTTTCATTGCAAATTTTCACAATTCCAATGCATCCATGAGTAGTTCACTTCGTGTCTAGGTGGACAATGACACGAACTCTGGGACGTAATGCAAGTACTAAATTAAATAATCTGTTTCCCTTTCAATATTACAAGGAATGTTTTCTCTCATACTAGTTGTCAATGGATGGACCCAACGTTAATTGGAAATTTTACAGTATGCTGACTGATGAGGCAAAAAGGGAGCATAATAGTCACATGCTGAACATTGGCAGCTGTGGTTTACACATTCTTCATGGAGCATTCAAGGATGGTGCTGTGGCATCAGGATGGCAGTTAGACAGGTTGTTCTCTAGCCTTCACTGGCTTTTTCAGGACAGTCCGGCAAGGAGAGAGGACTACACCAAAGTAACAGGAAGCTCACTGTTTGCTTTGAAGTTCTGCAAACATAGGTGGTTGGAGAATGTCTTGGTTGCAGAACGTACACAGAGTATGTGGGACAGTGTTGTCAAGTATGTTCAGAGTGCAAGGGAAGGAAAAGTTCCACAGCCACAGAATAAATCCTTTGACACTGTACAAGAGTTTGTTGCAGATCCCTTTACGACTGCAAAAGTCGCCTTCTACCTATCAGTAGCCAAGCAAGTGACACCGTTTTTGACACTCTATCAAACCTGTACAGCATGCTTGGGGGATTAATGAGAAGATTTATTAAGACCACTGTTATCAGTGAAGCCAAAACCCCATTGAAGCTTACAAAACTTGACCCTGCTGACTCCAGCATTCATGCCTCTCATTCCAAGATTGACCTGGGGTTTACAGCTGACAAGAAGATCAAGGAGTTGATTGCAAAGGCCACAGTTTTAGAGAAAAGAGTGCTTCAGTTTCAGATGGAATGCAAGGAGTTCCTTATGAAAGTAGTTTGCAAACTGATTGCCAAAGCACCAATTCAGTATTCCCTTGTAAGGAATATAAATTGCTTAGATCCAAGGAACATGATGAGTGACCATGATGTTTCCATCACAAAATTCAAGAGAGTTTTAACTACCCTTGAAAATGCCAAGAAAGTCCTGGAAGGTGAATGTGATTCCCTTTTGGAACTATTTAGACAATTCATTATGGAAGCCCCCTCTTCTTCTCCGTCGGAGTTCAAAGACTATGATCCTAACAATGATAGACTTGATTCCTTTCTGTATCTTCACATGGGACAGAAGCGATCCTACCAATCATTGTGGAAAGTAGTCTCAGAGCTACTGATATTATCACATGGCCAGGCCAGTGTCGAAAGAGGATTCTCAGTCAATAAGCAACTGGAAGTCGAGAACCTCCAAGAGCGCTCCTTCATTGCACAAAGGCTGGTACAAGATCATGTACAATCTGTGGGAGGTGTCCTTGCTGTTTCAATCAACAAACCACTTCTTTTGTCAGCTGCAGGAGCTAGGCAGAAGTATTTATCATATCTTGATGAACAAAAGAGGAAGAAAACCTCTGAGGGTGTAGAACTGAAGCGAAAGGAGCTAGTCGATGAACTTGAGGAACTTAAAAAGAAAAGAAGGCGTTTAGACACTGATGTTGACAATCTTGTTAAATCAGCAGACGAGTTTGCACAGAAAGCAGAGGACACTGGGAAACTTGTGTGGATTACAAAGTCAAATAGTTTGAGGAGAACTGCAAAAGAAAAGGAGATGGCTCGCAAAGACCTTGAGTGCAAAATTGCGAATGTTGTGGATGAACTAAAAAAGGCATAGACTTTAAGCTCGACTTAAGCTTGGCACAATTGCTACTATAAGGTGAACATCCTTTTATTTTGCAGTTGGTGGAGTCCTTGAAAAATGAAAAATATGTCCTTGAAAAGTCCTTGAAAAGTCCTTGAATTTTTAGTCCAAAAAAGGGTACGAACCCTGGTTAGATATATCATTAATATAAATAAGGAATAGTAAGGGTCCTAGGACCGATCCCTGTGGGGCACCTGATAACACTACTTCTTTTTTAGATATGTTTTTGGGACCAATTTGTGTTATTTGCTGACGACCCACTAGGTATGATGCAAACCAATCATTAATTATTCCACGTACTCCATAATGATTTAATTTTCTTAATAATATTGAATGATTTACTGTGTCAAAGGCTTTTTGTAAGTCAATGAACACACCACATGAGTACAACTTCTTATCCATGTTAGTTTCAATTTCATTAATTATGTCTAAAATAGCATGCTCAGTAGACCTTTTTTCAGGAAAACCATATTGTGAATAAAGGAGAATATTGCACTTTTCAATAAATGACTTGAGGCGATTATACATCATCTTTTCAAAGATACAGTTAAAAATGGAGAGAAGCGATATGGGTCTATAATTGGAGGGGTCAGATTCATCGCCACTTTTGTAAATTGGAATTACTTTGGCCAGCTTTAATTTAGATGGATAGGTTCCATATTCAATTGATTTGATAAGCATAGTGAGTGACACCCTCACCAGCACTTGCAGCAGCACCTGCAGTAGCTGAACATGTACCTGCACCAGCATAACTTACAGAACCTGGTCCTGCTACTACCTATGCAGAGCAACTGACAGTACAACAACTACTACATAGCCCACAGGAAGTATATAGATCACTTAAAAAAGAAGTTGGATTGTTTATCATTCGTCAGTCCCTCTCACGGTCTCAGGATGGAACAACCATTCTCCTAAAAACAGGTGGCCAGGTATATATTTTAAATATAGAATGATATATGTTCATTTTTGTTTTCTTAATGACACTACATTTCAAAACATGGCATGAACAACATGATAATTACATGAATTTTCAGCCACTGGAATTGGTTCAAAGAACCAGGGCCAGGAAAACAACTGATGAGGTGACAAAAAAAACTGCTAGACAAAGATCAAAGATAGTAGCAGAGACCAGAACAGCTGTAAGTGGTGGTGCTGCGGGGACCCAGTTGGTCGATGAATTGAAAGCAATGGGTTGACTGGAGAGAGAAGCACTGCTGAAGGAAGCCTTGGGAAAAGAATGTAAAATAACCATCCCCAGGGGTGACATACCTGCAATGAAGGTAGACCTTGGAGAAACATGGTACAAAGTTAGGAAGCTTAGGAGGTAAGATTAAATAATTAACACAGCCCCAGAGAGTCACACAACATTTGAGTAAAAATTATTTTTTTGCCTATGATTAATTTGATTATTTCTGAATTCCTTTGACCTGTGTAAACTATGTAACATTCTTATTGAATGTAAAATAATGTAGCAACAATAAGTAATAACAAAGTTAATTTCCACCTAGTTTTATACATCATAATAATATTGTCCTGAATTGTCTCCCTGCAGGTGGTTTGATCAATGGGGACTGTCCTCTGAAAGTGAAAAACATCAGCAGAAGCAAGTTCAGTCCATCACTGACCCTGCCAACTTGGTGTGTGAGATGGTGCCTTTTGAGTTCAAAAAAGCAGGCTGCAATCCTGAGATCAAACAAGCAGAGTTTGGTTATGTTCGTGACCTTAACCAATTTGTACAACTTCATTTGGATGAAAATGAAAAGTATAATTCTTTGACTTTTTATACTGTTATGAATGTTACTGTAGCAGCAATGTCAATCATTGTAAACGTAAAGTAGGCTTTTGGCACTGCCTCTTGCCAGAATTATCGCTTTTAATTAAACAACAGACTCTTTATTTACGCTTGACATGGAATAATGCCATCCCAGAACAGGAAGTCCACTTAAAACTTGGAGGTGATGCTGGTGGTGGGTCCTTTAAAATGGCTTTCAGACTGCCAACCTTTAACATCCAAACTCAAAAACAAATGCAGTGGTCTTTGCCATGTTCCACGCCAAAGATACATGGACAAATTTAAAAACAGCATTAATGAAATACAGGGAGCAAGTAAACATCCTAAAGGAAGCTACTTGGAGGTTGGTACATATACCGTAAATGTACTATAGATTTCTTATAAACCATACAGGATAAAACCTCCACACTGAGTGAGGTATCCTGCTGAAATTCTGCAATTTTTCTTTTTACTTATTTTTAGAGACAAAAAGAAAAACGTTTTCCTCTTCGGTGACTACGAGTTTTCATGCAAGATATTTGGAACAGCTGAAGCCTCAGGTAAATTTAAATAATAATAAACACATACAAAACAAAACAAAAATATTTGATTTATATTATTGAATAAGAGTAGCACCTAAATTATCCTAAATTGTAGCGTTAATACACTCTCTATGGAAGGAGTATTCATAAGTGTGAATTCATTTCTTGCAGGCAAGGATCCATGCCTCTGGTGTCTGATAACATATGAGACGATGCAACTCTCTTGCCAGGATCCTCGTCATGGGCACATAGAAAAGAGAAATGTTAAGAACATTGAAGAAGATTATAACAAGTTTGTTGCAGATGGGTGTGTCACCAGTTGACAGAAGTTTTATCACAATGTGATCCACCAGAAACTGCTGGACATTGAACTGGAAAAAGTAATTAGTATACTATCACCATATTTTTTTGCTTAGGGTGCTTGCTTCTTTAGGTTTGTGTTCCTAGACTTCACATCAGCTTGGGTGTTTTCAAGAAACTATTTGATGAACTTGAGAACCATTGTGCTGAGCTGGACAAAAGAATTCAAATGGAGCTGGCCACTGACAGTGACCAAATTGATGAAAGAATCCTGGCACTCAGAACTGCTCATCAACACAGTAGTCAGGCACAACAGTTGTATGAGAAAGCAAATTCTTTACAGGAATTATTGAATTAACAGAGTTTGCATTCTGATGTGACTATTATGCCTGCCTTCCTCACATCAATGCAAAATGAAATTGACAGACTCCTTAAAGATGCAAAGGAAGAGGTCACAAAACAGTATACTATAATATCAAGAATGTTCACGTTACTAACTCCATCAAACAGACCAAACTCTATAATCTTTGTTAAGTGATTGTTCTGATGAAGCTGTTTTAGACCATGAAGATCCACATTCTGAATAATGTAATAATTATTATGTTCTCTTTACATTTAATTACAGGAAAACTTGCAGATGAGCAGATTGAATTGGCAGGCTTTGATCAATCCGATGGACCACTAACAAAGCATTTGGACGTGGTCCTGAAGGAAATGAATGTTGAGCGACAGGCCTACCATGGAAAATCATTCATTGCTAACCACGTGCACACCTGTTGCAAGGTAACATACACTCAAACTTAAATAAGACATGAAAACTACAAAGAGGCAAACACACGAACTGCCATTAATGATACAATTTGTTGCTGTCTTTTTCTTTAGGCAACCAATATCAATAAATTACGCAGTGCTGTAGTGGCAATAACAGAAGAGCTGTGTCCTTCCTTGCTTTCTAAGGCAAGAGAAATTAGTGTCAAGTTTGAACAAGCCTTCAAATTATTTGCTGCTTGCCTTTTTGTCTATGATAGTGCAGAATACCTCGATGAAGAGAAGGTCGACCAGCTAGGTAGGTGAAATAACAAACTGAGTTTTTTTGTAACACAGACAATAAAAATGTTCTGTATCTGGTCAGTAAGTTAAGTCTCATTCACCTTTTCTAGATGCAGACAGCAAAAAGCTCCTGCAGTTTACCAGAGAAAACCTCCAAGGCGTAGCAATCACACCAAAGCTTCACATGCTCAAAGACCATGTGTGCCCGTTTCTAAGACAATGGCACATGGGCCTTGAATTCTACGGTGAACAAGGGATCAAAGGAATCCATTCCGAGTTCAACACACACTCACAGCATTTTAATCACGTCAAGAAGGAGGATGTGAGATTGCGGCAGATACTAGTTAATCATCATATTGCCATGAGCCCATCACTCACACGAAAAGCTCCAAAGCCTAAAGAAAGGAATTTAAAGCGAAAAGCAAACGAATAAGCTTGTCCTTTTCACTTTGTGGAAATTTATGAATATATTATACTCACTGAAGTTACATTTGTAGTGCGAAAATTTCCCTCTGTATAATACTGGTGCTAGCAATGAAGCACAAAGGCGTTAGCATACGAAAGTACAGCCCTTTTCGGCTTCTATGAACTAGTAAATATGCATGTAAACTTGTACGTAAGATTTAAACAAGTAACTTTCAAATAAACAGGTTAATTATGGCACTGTTTACAACCCAAACTGCATTTTTTCTGTCAACTGTTCGAAGCTGATTGTCTCAGAATTTCAAAATGGAGTCACCTAACGGCCAATCTTCACATATTAAAAAAGCCTGAAATGAGTGTTGAAACAATTCGGATTAAAACACCTACCTCCGTACGTTCTTCAGGAAGGTTTCACATCTTCTCCCTCTACTCTTGTGATGCTGAATAAAATTCGGGGCCTTTGTAATGTGGAATGAAACATTTATGTAGATTTTCACATCATACGTTCAGCTAAGTCCACCTTCACGACGCGATTTTGTCGAAAAAGACCACAATTTGGTCGATTTTCCTCACATTTTCGACAACAACTGCTCTGTCGATCTCCCACACTCTGCCATGATAAATTTCACATGCATACATTACATAAATGGTGAGATTTCATTGGTTAAAAAAGGTAGAGGCCCCCAGGTTGCCATGGACGCTAAAATATGTGTGTTGTAATTCGGTATTAACTTGAGAATATAATAATTAACCGGATGGTTCTGCTAGAGCGCATGCATGAACTAAATTTCCCTTGCGAAACAGCCGTGCTGTCCTGCACATTCAGAAATTGACATCAAATAACTTTCAAGAATCTCAGTGCATTATCAACAGCACACATGAAATTACTGATGGGTGTGCAGGTCAGTACAAGAGAAGACACTACCTTGGTGATCTTTTCTGTTCATTGGCTACTCTTGGATAAAGAGTCCAAAGAAACTTCTTTGCCACTTCACATGCAAAAGGAGAACAGGATACTGCTGGCTCACATGTTAAGCAGAAGAAAACTACTGTATAGGAGAGTCAAACTTTGTAGTGCCCAAGAACTCTGTAACTTAGTTAAAACAAATACTGTAATATTATTTAAAAATTGAGTTTTGAGCAATGTCACACCTTTGTACATCATAACTGTGCTACTGACCGTATGTATTTTTTAAAATGTTCTTAAGGTTACTCTGTAAGAGCATTGAAACTTCTGTATAGCGCTCCAAATACATATTATTATTATTATTATTATTTTATTAAAACCACCCCCAGGAGAGAAGAGGAGAAACTAGAGATGCTGTGACATCACTAAACCAATATAGGACAAAGTTGAAGAAGAAAAAGACATCATACCGAGTTATCCAGGATCCCCGTTAAGGCTAAAGTAAACAGTTGATCCTTTCCCACAACCTCACAGAACATACTCACAAGTTTCCGTGATAGTATGGACCACCAAGGAGCAGAGCAAACATTGTACCTGATAAGAGACTATTGCTACTGGCCAGGAATGCCAAATGATGTAGAAGCATGGATAAAACAATGTGAAAAATGTACTAAACCTCTAGAAGTCCTTGCAATTGACTTTACATTGTTAGAGGCAGCCAAAGATGGTAAAGAAAGTGTGTTGGTAATGACAGATGTCTTTACAAAAGTTCATGCACGCAGTTCCTACCAGAGATCAAAGAACCAGCATCAAAGCTTAAGTGCTCCTTAAAGAATGGTTTTCAGTAAGGCATCCCCCCTAGGTATCCACTCTGATGACCAAAATATGTAAGCTGTATGACATCAAGTCACATTCTACTCCTTATCATCTGACAAGGCAAGCAGTGATCACTAGACCAAAAAAGGGCAGTTCATCTATCAGTGATTTAGATCCATGTCGGTCTTCATACTGTACTCTAAATGTGTCTTGACGCAGTGATTAATGTTAGAGATGGGTACACTTTTCCATATAGCGAAAATATCCCTAGTTTGAGCCACAATTTGTGCACCAAACACGCAACGGCCACCATCTTGGATGTCTTTTACAAAGATCTTAAAGTGCATGCAACTGCATTTTTCGACGTAGAACTCAAGTGCTCCATGTGGCACAGAACTGCAGCATACTGCCCAGAGCCATCCTTACTGGGAGTAATTAAAACCTGTAGGGCTCTGCTGATGTGTGGCAGCCATCCTGTTCCGCTGACTTGGGTGGGCTTCAAAACATTGATTCCAAGTTCAGTTCCAATGCTTTGAAGTTTGCGCATGCTCTTGAGGCTGTAGTGGTACGTTTTCCAGATGAGATGGAGAATGTCATACACCGAACCTGTGCTGGCAAATGCTGGACTCCAGGTTCACGCAATTCCTGATGAGTGGCTTCCCATGAAAAGGCTGATTAACACCAGTTTTTGGGACAAGGACTATGGAAGCCTGTGGCAGACCTTTTTAACAAAAATGCCTTATCGCCAGGACTTTCAAAACGTCCTTCACCTTGTCGAGATTCTGTTGGTACTACCGATTTATGCAGCTCAGTGCGAGCGTACCATCTCCGCAGAGAACCGGATAAAGAGCAGTATGTGAGTTAATCTTGGATCATCGACACTTGAAGACCTCATCCGAGGGCCCGACAGTGTGGTTCACACGGAATAAGGAAGCAGGAGAACGAAAGTGGAGGCCAGCATTCCAAAGATCTTCAATCTCATGTTGAGACCAAGAGCTTATTTGTGTCTTTAATTTAGATAACCGCTGTTTGTGTTTTAATAGTTTTAGAATATTTTTTTGTGATCTCATTGCCATTATTTCCAGTGTTTTCATGTTATTTCTAGAGATTTAAAACTAGCATGATTGTGAGATCTCATCAATAGCAATTGAGGGACCAATGATGTTACATTGTTGCTAAATAATGAACTAAGGGTAGCAAGATAAAGCTTACATTCTGTCGCGTCTCCTCTCAATTGAATATCTGCAATAAAATGGTACAACTTGTAGATCAAATCAATAATTCCTAGCACGTTTTAACATTATTTCACTGAATTTCAAATAAATTACACCTATAGTATGCATACGATTAAACCGCATTTTTCTTTAAGTTATGTGAGTCATTAGTCGAGAATGAAGCACTCAACGTTGCACTCAGCAGAGGTTCAGGGGACTGGAACAAGAAATGCTGCACGGTTGTGGCCTGGCGCAAGCTACATGGTGATCCGTCGATCGTCTTGACAACGTGAAAGGAAAGACCGTTTTGAAAATAGAGCAAAGAACCAAACGGCAGTTTTTGAGTCTAGTACAGTTCTCCAAAATGTAGAGACAAAAGAAGGTATAAAGTTGACTTGAAACATTTGGCAGTCGCACAAAACTGCGTATATGGCCAGCATTCAATTCATTCATCGTGGTTTTTCAGTGGTAGGTGTATAGATAATCAGCGTGTTTGTATTTACTCTTATTTGTTAGCGGAAAAATTGCCATTGCAGCACCAAACGCGTTCTCTTCGTTATGATTCGTAAAAGAAAAATTGGGGACCAAAAATTGAGGTTTGTGTTTCCCTGCAAACAAAAAGTTTTATTGACACTTTTTGGCGACCACATTTTTCCATATGGCAACTGAAAAAAAAATCCGGTCACCAGTTGGCGCCTGCCTGAAAATGTTAATTTCGGACCCTGAAAACCCTGCCAACATTCTGACTCATCGGATACAAACCCGAATCCACCATCAAAACTGTGAGTTGATGCCAAATAAGCCTAGTCTAGTCTAAGCAGGATAAAACTGCTAGAGGAACACACAGGTAAAGGGACTACTCCATCTGGCCTCAGAATACATAACATAACAGCAAAGGGTCAAAGGGTCAACACATGGAAACACTTGAAGTCAAATTTGACAGCACTGTCTGCAGGCAGAGGTAAAATTGCTGGAAGTAGCAATTGCAAATCTCTGCTCCACAGATAAAGATCATCAAGAGAAAATCCTTGCTGCTTCTGCAATCAATGGCAGGATTGCACATGGTAAAGAAAAACTACTGAAGAATGAAATTGTGGATGCAAAAGCAAGCAGCCTCGTTAAAGCTGTGGTAGCATTTGTGAAGCAATTATCCCAGGACACTGTGGTCTTAAAGGCTTCAAGAGACTCCAAGTGGAGATTATCTACAAAGCAAAAGGCAGAAGTCAAACAAGGATGGACGATAGCAAGGTTTTTGTTCCCTCAAAGTAATCTATCAGAGGTAACATTTGCGACAAACTCAGCAGTCTTTCTTCAGGCACTGCATGCTCAACTGAGGAAAACTGGTGGCGAAAAGTTTCCACTGAAAGGAAGAATAATGGCAAGTCAGATTGACAGATCCATCAAGCCTAGGAATGCCAAAAATCAACTCTGCCAAATGGTCTAACCGACCTCAAACATCATCAAAAATACGTGGGGAAAAGGTTCAGGCCACGTAAAATAGACAGGCCCTTGCTGCAAAAAAAACAAGATGGGTAAAAAAACCTGTATGACTTGCCTCCAGGGAATTCGGAAATCCATAATTTTTTTTTCTCTCAAGCTCACTGAGCGGGGTTCTAGGGTTCTGGGCATGGGCTGAAAGTTTAGACCTTACCTTTATTAATAAAATTACAATATCATTGTTGTCCTGTGACCCATAAAAACTTATGACCTATTAGTTTGTCTCAAAAATTACCGAGAGGGCTGTCTTCGACCAAGTGTATAGTCACATGACTGACAACGAACTGTTTCCTGTGCTTCAGTCTGCCTATAAGAAAGGGCACAGCACGGAAACAGCACTACTGAGAGTTGTAAATGATATTTTGTCCAACATGAATAAGCAACACATGTCAATTATTGTGTTGCTCGATCTGAGTGCGGCGTTCGACACTGTCGACCATGCCATACTGTTACTTAGCAAAGTCAACCTAGGTACTCCGACTGTTGGTGATACTAGTGTTGCTATTGTAAACAAGGCGCGAAATCTCGGAGTTTGGTTTGACTCGCAGCTGAATTTTAACGTTCACATTACGAAAC